CTGGATATACGTTATACTTTCCGTTGGCCAAAACTGTCAGATTGATAGTGTCTCTGCATGAGAACGCACACCACATCTCTCTCTCTCTCTCGCTCTCTCGTATTTTACGGCAGCTCACGTCGTCGTCCTCTTCATCGTCTCGACGGGGCCGTGTGCGCGCGCAGCCGTTGCTTGGTACGTACCACTGGCTTCATGGCTTGATGAACCCCCTCAGCCTTCCGTTTATACATGTGTGTGTGTGTGTGTGTGTGTGTGTGTGGGGCGGAGAAGCGTGCTTGCTTGCTGCGTTCGTTGGCTCACGGGGGGTTGATCCCTTTTTTTCAGTGGCAGAGCTGCGCATTCTATAGCCCTGTCGCTCCACCTGGCTGCTACTGCTACTACTGCTACCGCTACCGCTGCTACTGCTACTGCTACCGCTGCTGCTGCTGGTGATGTGGTTGCTGCTGATGCCCATGGGTATGTTGATCGGGGAATGACCTTGGACTGATTGATAGCCCCGGCCCCCCAATTTGATGTGCTTGATGGTAGTCCTGCTTTTTATTTTGCATGCACCTGTTCCGCCACCTCGATTCTCTTCCTCGACCTTCCCCCCGCCCTTTCCCCCTCCTCCCTCCTTCCCCTCCTCCCCCTCTTCCCTCCTCCCTCCTTTTCCTCATCCCTCTCTGCGCTCTTCAGCTTAGGAAACCCCGCACCCAACGTTTCAACGTCTCACGTGTGCGCTCAAACTGCACGGGCATCATGTCAACCGAGGGACTGCTGGCCACGTCTGAAACGGATGGGGATGGCGCCCATTTGGCCGAAGCTCTGCCACCAGCCGCTGATGAGAGCGTGGCAGAGCCACATCAGGACCAGGCCCCGCTCCTTCCGCCAAGTGGGGATGGTTCCAACCTAGGCGCTTCTGCGGACAGCGCCGATGGGCAAGCCTCGGGTATGCTGCCTGGCATGGACACACTCAGCGAGTTTTTCGGCGATCAGCGCCACGCCGTGGATCTTGAGCAGCAACGCCTTGCCCAACAATCCCTTGGCAGCCGCCGACGCCTACCGCGACCACGCCGTTATCCTCCACTTGGAAGGCCGATACTATCTCAAATACCAACACCACCCCGTCAGCGTTGCTCACCAGCGCTCCTTTGCCCTCATCCACATGTCCCGGTACAACCTGTTCAAGTGGTTTGAGCTGATTGCTGCCACGCTACTCCTGCTCCTTCTAGCCAATGCTCCGTCACAATGGACAGGTCGCCGCTTCACTTCATCCCACGAACCGTGCGGCAAAGATTTGGCGCCTCGCTACGTGCTCCTCGTGTGATGTCCTTGTTGTTGTTGCTGCTGCTGTGTAGCAGCCGCGTTCAGGCGAACCTCTTTCTCGTCACCCCACCCGAAGACCATGGTACGCACCCGCTTGAGACCAGTTCTGGTGACGCGACCACTGCACAAAAATACTTTGTCCCTTCGTGTGCCTCATGCTTTTTTTTTTTTCTTTTTTCCTCGAGCCGTCTTGCCGCGTCTCTACACTTGGTGGCTGACCTCGATCTGTTCTTCCCTTGATGCCAACAGGCATCACTACTGTTGAGGGCACCTTATCTTGGGCACTCGCACAGGCAGAAAACTCTGCCCAGCCACCCACCATTAGCTTTGCCGTGGACAGCGTCACCGTCTTTCAGGGCCTTGCCAAAC